ATTAATATATTTCTGTTTCCTTTTGACTGAATTTTTAATACTTTGTTTTTTTGACTCTAAATCTTTGAGAAATGTGTTTTGGGTCCAAGCCTCTTTCTCCAGGAGCTCGACCGGCGCTGACGAAACCAAAGGCAATCCTGTGATGTCACATGACGCTGGGTCTGATTTATAGAAACATTAAAGAGACATTGATGTAGAGGTCGGAGGTCAAACTCTGACCTTTCACTGTCACCACCACCTCCTCATGTTTTCATCTGGGTTCAAACTATGTGAATCTAAACCAGGACTAAACCAGGTCCAAACCAGGACTAAACAAGACTAAACCAGGACTAAACCAGGACTAAACCATGATTAAACCAGGACTCAACCAAGACTAAGCCAGGACTAGACTAGGAATAAAGTAGGACTAAACCAGACTAAACAAGCACTAGGCCAGAACCACACCTGCTGACTGCTGTAGACCCAGGACTAAGGCTGTAGACCCAGGACTAAGGCTGTAGACCCAGGACTGAGGCTGTAGATCCAGGACTGAGACTGTAGACCCAGGACTAAGGCTGTAGACCCAGGACTGAGGCTGTAGACCCAGGACTGAGGCTGTAGACCCAGGACTAAGGCTGTAGACCCAGGACTGAGGCTGTAGATCCAGGACTGAGACTGTAGATCCAGGACTGAGGCTGTAGACCCAGGACTAAGGCTGTAGACCCAGGACTGAGGCTGTAGACCCAGGACTGAGGCTGTAGATCCAAGACTGAGGCTGTAGACCCAGGACTGAGGCTGTAGATCCAAGACTGAGGCTGTAGACCCAGGACTGAGGCTGTAGACCCAGGACTGAGGCTGTAGACCCAGGACTAAGGCTGTAGACCCAGGTCTGAGGCTGTAGATCCAGGACTGAGGCTGTAGATCCAATACTGAGGCTGTAGACCCAGGACTGAGGCTGTAGATCCAGGACTGAGGCTGTAGACCCAGGACTGAGGCTGTAGACCCAGGACTGAGGCTGTAGACCCAGGACTAAGGCTGTAGATCCAGGACTGAGACTGTAGACCCAGGACTGAGGCTGTAGACCCAGGACTGAGGCTGTAGACCCAGGACTAAGGCTGTAGATCCAGGACTGAGGCTGTAGACCCAGGACTGAGGCTGTAGATCCAGGACTGAGGCTGTAGACCCAGGACTGAGGCTGTAGATCCAGGACTGAGATGCAGCTTTAGTTTTTTATCGAAACAACGACAGAACACGTCTTAAATGTAAATGGAAATACTTTATTTCACGTCACACAAGAACAAGCCGTGAAAAAATACAAAAAGAGAGAAATGAACCCAATGCAACGAAGCACCACAAAATATCGACAACTTTCAATGTGGCAACGGAAACTTAAGTTAACGGCTAAAGCTAGACTTTATAATCCATTTCATTTACAAATCAGCAAAACATTTGGACATCAAGCAAAGTCATGCCAGGGATAGTATGTACAGAGGAGTGTGGGGATGGAGGCGGAGTCCCAGCAGAACAGAGAGGATTGTGGGAGTTGGAGTCCATCAGGTGGGCGTGTTTGGTGTTTGGTACAGAGAGGGAGGCAGACGGTTTAGGGCAGAAAGAGAATATACATTTGGATAGATTTGACCTTAAAATCTTTCAAAAAGTTCATTTGCAAAAACTGATGCAGAGAGTCTCAGCAGAAACATGATGGAAAGGACTACAATTGGTGTCAAATTAATTCTGATTCTGGAATTGCATATTTCCAAGTAGTTTTTGGAAAAGACAGCCATACTGATCAAGCTAATTCTTTAAGAGAACAGAGTGAGACCAAAGTGAGACCAGAGAGACTAGAGAGACCAGAGAGAGACCAGAGAGAGACTAGAGAGAGACCAGAGAGAGAGACCAGAGAGAGACTAGAGAGAGACCAGAGAGAGACCAGAGAGAGACCAGAGAGAGACCAGAGAGAGACTAGAGAGAGACCAGAGAGAGACCAGAGAGAGACCAGAGAGAGACCAGAGAGAGACCAGAGAGAGACTAGAGAGAGACTAGAGAAAGACTAGAGAGACCAGAGAGAGATCAGAGAGAGACCAGAGAGAGACCAGAGAGAGACCAGAGAGAGACCAGAGAGAGACCAGAGAGAGACCAGAGAGAGACCAGAGAGAGACCAGAGAGAGACCAGAGAGAGACCAGAGAGAGATCAGAGAGAGACTGCAGAGAGAGACCAGAGAGAGACTAGAGAGAGACCAGAGAGACCAGAGAGAGACCAGAGAGAGACTAGAGAGAGACTAGAGAAAGACTAGAGAGACCAGAGAGAGACCAGAGAGAGACCAGAGAGAGACCAGAGAGAGACCAGAGAGAGACCAGAGAGAGACCAGAGAGAGACCAGAGAGAGACCAGAGAGAGACCAGAGAGAGACCAGAGAGAGTCCAGAGAGAGATCAGAGAGAGACTGTAGAGAGAGCAGATCTAGACCAGAGTGAGAAAAAAACACTTTTAGACACATTTTCAAATCTCAGAAATCTGTTTTTTGCATTTGAACTTTTCTCACAACAGTTTTCCATTAAACAAAACACACAGATTTAATCAGATGAATCTTACCCAATCACAGAGGCTCACGGGGGCGGGATCTGCAATGACTCTGGTCTCAATTTTTTATCATCATTTTTATCATCACAAAGTTGACACAAACTCCTTTAATGCCCTGGTTTCTTGAGACTAAAGTCATTGGGGACAAAAATAGACTTAAGTTTTGGCGAGTTCTCATCCCGCTTTTCTCCATCAGTTGCAGAGAGATGCGGTTTATAGAAAATGTATTTACAGTTCAGGATTGTACCAACTGAATGAAAGCATACGTTGCGGGGGTGGAGTCTGAAGTGTGAGTTTGTACATGTACATTACAGGACGGTGGAACAAGCCACATGGAAACTTCTGGAATCTCTGCGTTTATATGAGCCGTGTCAAGTTTTCACTTAAGAGAATTATGATTTGTTTGAACACAGAGGAGGCGCCCCATTGGTCCAGAGGATAATAATGTAGAAGTTATATTTATAGTTTAAAGTGCATTCGACATATTTCACAACAGCAGAGGCAAAAAAACATCAGGGAAAATCTGCTATAATTTTAATGTTACTTTCTGGTTGGACAAAGGCAGCTGATTTCCACTTCCACCCGACTATACTCTGCTCTACTGTACGTAGAGCAGAGTAGAGTAGAGTAGAGTAGAGTAGAGTAGAGTAGAGTAGAGTAGAGTAGAGTAGGGTAGGGTAGAGTAGAGGACAGTAGATCAGAGTAGAGTAGAGTAGAGTAGAGTAGAGTAGAGTAGAGTAGAGAGGGTTCCACCGAACATTGACTCAGTCTGATATTTCTATATTCTACACTTTACACATCTTTATTTGTGGTGGTAAATGGTGACAGTTAGGAGTGAAAGAGACCAGAGAGAGACCAGAAAGACCAGAAAGACCAGAGAGAGACCAGAAAGACCAGAAAAACCAGAGAGAGACCAGAAAGACCAGAAAGACCAGAAAGACCAGAAAGATTGGAGAGAGAGACTAGAGAGAGACCGACCTCGTGAACACAAAACTGGAATTGCTGGAATTTGCTTCTGATGAAAAGAGTTGGGAATTTCTAATCAGCAAAAGGACGAGTGCAAAAAATGTCTAAAATGTGCTGAAGATATTTTTGGCAAAAGTTTTTCTGACATATTTCACTTTTATGTTTGAAAGTTAAGTTATTTCGCTATTTACCAGAGAGAGACCAGAGAGAGACCAGAGAGAGACCAGAGAGAGACCAGAGAGAGACCAGAGAGAGACCAGAGAGAGAGAGACCAGAGAGAGAGACTAGGGAGAGACCAGAGAGAGACCAGAGAGAGACCAGAGAGAGACCAGAGAGAGACCAGAGAGAGACCAGAGAGAGACCAAAGAGAGACCAGAGAGAGAGACTAGGGAGAGACCAAAGAGAGACCAGAGAGAGACCAGAGAACGAGACCAGGGAGAGACCAGAGAGAGAGACCAGGGAGAGACCAGAGAGAGAGACCAGGGAGAGAACAGAGAGAGACCAGAGAGAGACCAGAGAACGAGACCAGGGAGAGACCAGAGAGAGACCAGAGAGAGAGACCAGGGAGAGACCAGAGAGAGAGACCAGGGAGAGAACAGAGAGAGACCAGAGAGAGACCAGAGAGAGAGACCAAAGAGAGATCAGAGAGAGAGACCAGAGAGAGAGACCAGGGAGAGACCAGAGAGAAACCAGAGAGACCAAAGAGAGACCAGAGAGAGAGACCAGAGAGAGACCAGGGAGAGACCAGAGAGAGACCAGAGAGAGACCAAAGAGAGACCAGAGAGAGAGACTAGGGAGAGACCAAAGAGAGACCAGAGAGAGACCAGAGAACGAGACCAGGGAGAGACCAGAGAGAGAGACCAGGGAGAGACCAGAGAGAGAGACCAGGGAGAGAACAGAGAGAGACCAGAGAGAGACCAGAGAACGAGACCAGGGAGAGACCAGAGAGAGACCAGAGAGAGAGACCAGGGAGAGACCAGAGAGAGAGACCAGGGAGAGAACAGAGAGAGACCAGAGAGAGACCAGAGAGAGAGACCAGGGAGAGACCAAAGAGAGAGACCAGAGAGAGAGACCAGAGAGAGAGACCAGGGAGAGACCAGAGAGAAACCAGAAAGACCAAAGAGAGACCAGAGAGAGAGACCAGAGAGAGACCAGGGAGAGACCAGAGAAAGACCAGAGAGAGACCAGAGAAAGACCAGAGAGAGACCAGCAGTCCTCTCTCTCGTCTCCACCTGGTGTCTGTTCTCTGGAGCCTAAAGGATAAATATTCCGTCATATTTATCTTGAGTGAAAAGTCAAATCGGTTCAAAGCCACAGAGTTCCTTCATTCTTCTGTCACTCTCAGTCTTACGGACCGTGTTCAGTCCCAGTGCCCCTCGCCTGCGTTCGGGACCGTGAAGACACGACGAAAGGTGGCGATCGGTGGATTTTTTTTACATGAGAGAAACTGTACAGGGCCTTTAGGGGTCCCCACCACTAAAGGCACATGGGGTCCACTGAGCAGCAGATGTGTCCGTTCTGGAAAACAGAAGCAGAAAGAGCAGGTCAGAGTCTACCTCAGAGTCTAGAGTCTGTGTTTCTCAGAGTCTAGAGTCTGTGTTTCTCAGAGTCTAGAGTCTGTGTTTCTCAGAGTCTAGAGTCTGTGTTTCTCAGAGTCTAGAGTCTGTGTTTCTCAGAGTCTAGAGTCTGTGTTTCTCAGAGTCTAGAGTCTGTGTTTCTCAGAGTCTAGAGTCTGTGTTTCTCAGAGTCTAGAGTCTGTGTTTCTCAGAGTCCAGAGACAGAGCGGGAATACCGACGAAGGCTTTGGCATTTGCAGCTTCTGTCTCTGTCACTTTGGAAGCAACTGATCCGCAAAAGTGACTCTGGGGACGGAATACTGATGCGACTTTAGCCACTGGGTCTCTAACTTTTCAAGTACAAGCTCATAAAAACTTTGAGTTATGGAGAGTAGATGGAGCACCGAGGGTAGAGCTCTGGACCAAGGCGCTGTGTGAGTAATGATCAATGTAATCCATGTGTGGGCGCTGTGGAATCATAACACAGTTTTAATCTGTTTTATGTGTCCTCTAGAACAGTCTTACATGGACACATCATGTCTGAGCTTATGTTGGGAGTAACGCCTTCCAAGAGTTATGTACTGTAAGACACTTTAAAGCAACTGTTGTTAAAGTTAAACTCATCATTCTAACAATATGCTCAAGGCAGTATTTTTCCACTACATGGTTTTCTGAAGGCCAAGCTACCGGCACCGCGGCAAATGCTGATTGGACAGTTTCCATTCCACCAGAAAGTCCGGTGGCTGTTGTAGAAGGAGGACCAACTCGTTGACCTATGGCAACACAAACTATCTCCACTGCATCCTCTTCATCCTCTTCTTCTATGATTGTTTACTCTGAAGTCACGCTTGATCTCCAGAGATTTTGTGACATCTCCGTCTGACCTGGGAATGCTCGGGGTGATCGGTTTGTGTGTAATGTGTGTGGTTTGTGTGATTTTGCCGTGTGGCTGCGGACCACACACTGTACAACCAAAGTTGCTAGACCCTCGATTTTTTATTCTCGTGTGTGAGGTCTCTCAGGTTAGGAAAATCGGCCGAGAATTTTAAAATCGTCTCGTGTGAACCAGGCTTTATTGAAATCTGCTGCAGTATTTAAATGCACCTGTGTCACTTGTGTACTAATCATGTGTGTGTGTGCGTCTGTGTGTGTGTGTGTGTGCGTGTGTGTGTGTGCGTCTGTGTGTGAATCGGACCCTGCAGAATGCTCTGTTGTGAATACCGACACACACAGAACAGTTCTGACACAATCCTCCAGAGAGAAGACTTGGAATATGTTTCTGTGTCTTTAGAGAATTAACCGGTGAGAGACATGACTGTTAGCCAAGGGGGGAGAGAGAGAGGGAGGGGGAGAGGGAAAGAGGGAGAGAGAGAGTTGAGAAAGAGGGGGGGGAGAGAGAGAGGGAGGAGAGAGAGGGGGGAGAGAGAGGAGGAGAAGAGAGAGGGGAGAGAGAGGGAGGAGAAAGAGAGGGGAGAGAGAGAGGGAGGAGAGAGAGGGGGGAGAGAGGGAGGAGAAAGAGGGGGGAGAGAGAGAGAGGGAGAGAGGAGAGAGGGGGGAGAGAGAGGAGGAGAGAGAGGGGGGAGAGAGGAGGGGAGAAAGAGAGGGGAGAGAGAGAGGGAGGAGAGAGAGGGGGGGAGAGGGAGGAGAGAGGGGGGGGAGAGAGGGAGGAGAGAGAGAGGGGGGAGAGAGGGAGGAGAAAGAGAGGGGAGAGAGAGAGGGAGGAGAGAGAGGGGGGAGAGAGGGAGGAGAAAGAGAGGGGAGAGAGAGTTGAGAGAAAGAGGGGGAGAAAGAGGGGAGAGAGAGAGAGAGGGAGGAGCGAGAGGGAGGAGAGAGAGGGAGGAGAGAGGGAGGAGAGAGGGAGGAGAGAGAGGGAGGAGAGAGGGAGGAGAGAGGGAGGAGAGAGAGGGAGGAGTCCCAGCAGGAGGCAAGTCCCTGTGCTCCTCAGAGTTGGTTCATGAGGCAGTAACATGTCACAGATGTACTTGGTGAAGCTGTGTGCACAGGGCCCCCACACAGGGCCCGCCAGAGGCCCCTGGAACAAAACAGTTTTATTAAATTATTAGATTACTAAATTACTAGTCTTGACACAACAAAAACAATAGGTAATCTCGCTCAGAGTGGAAGGAATTATCAGTACTTTGGCATGTCCTCCCTCCCCTCTGGTCATGAGGGAGCAGCGTCTACAATCAGAGCTCCACGGCCCTTCCCTCACCTCTGATCATGAGCTTTGGGTAATGACCGGAAAAACGAGATCACAGGTACAAGCAACACAGAGAGGTTTCTCAGCTGGTCTGGGAACGTCTCAGGATTCCCCCAGATGAAGTGTGTGTGGGGGAAGTCTGGCTGCTCTGCTTGGACTGCTGCCCCTGCGACCCGGCAACGGACCCAGCAGAAGAAAAGGGTTGGGTGGTACTAGGGATAATGATAGAAGTTAAGATCATATTCATGGAGTGTAAAAGTTCCACAGCCTGATACTGCCCCCACCGCTCACGGGACACAAGTGCTGTTTGCATTACTCTATGGAGCCGTCCGCCCCGAGTCCCACTCTGATTCAATAACACAGATAATGACAAAGGTTGGTGTTAACTAGAGTGTAATAAATTGAGTTGGGAATTTCTAATCACCAATAAACTTTAATTTAGAGAAATAAATTACTCTCAAATGAAGCATAAAACGTAGCAGATCTGGCAGAAGGAAAGAGCCCACAATTCCCAGAGACAATAACGGAAGATTAATGTCTTCTCACGTTCATTTAAAAACATTTTTATTGGCAAGTGCGATGGAGAAAGTGAAACTTGATGTGAAACAGCTGCACTTAGGTAAAACCAGGTGAGTGTAGAGACCAGCGAGGTTTGGACCAGAGCGAGAAGAAAAACTAAAGAGTATGTTAGCATTAGCATCTGTATACAGTCTATGTTAGCATTATCCATCTGTATACAGTCTGTGTTAGCATTGTCCATCTGTATACAGTCTGTGTTAGCATTGTCCATCTGTATACAGTCTATGTTAGCATTATCCATCTGTATACAGTCTGTGTTAGCATTAGCATCTGTATACAGTCTGTGTTAGCATTGTCCATCTGTATACAGTCTGTGTTAGCATTGTCCATCTGTATACAGTCTATGTTAGCATTAGCATCTGTATACAGTCTGTGTTAGCATTGTCCATCTGTATACAGTCTGTGTTAGCATTGTCCATCTGTATACAGTCTATGACAAGAACATCGAGTCTATATATCGCTTCTATGTGGTCTCCCGGCTGCCATTAGTTCTAATCTTGACCTTAGATAATAACACGTCATGTAACCTTGAGAACGGCTAAGTGGTTGAAAACAGCTCAATCATTCATCGGTGGAAAACAGTCTGATTAGCTTAATGTTATCCATTAGCATAACAGCATAAGAGGCGGTGTAGAATGATGAAGGGCTGTTGTGTTAATGCGTGGTGTGGAGAGAGCACTCGCAGGTGTCTACAGCACTCCTTTAATCCTTCAGTAAGAACGACTCATGAATAATAGCATTGTTTTTAGAAGGCTGCGACACTAAACCATGAAGGTAAATGGGAGGCTCAGGGACACAACTGTAACATGTGTGTGTGTGTGTGTGTGTGTGTGTGTGTGTGTGTGTGTGTGTGTGTGTGTGTGTGTGTGTGTGTGTGTGTGTGGGTGTGTGTTCACAAATTAACACTTTCAAATCCTGTGAAGCATTAGGCCCGACGCTAGAAATGACAGCTACAAAGTGAGAGATTCCCGTTAAAAGAGAGAGTGAGTGTGTGTGTGTGTGTGTGTGTGTGTGTGTGTGTGTGTGTGTGTGTGTGGGTGTGTGTGTGTGTGTGTGTGTGTGTGTGTGTAACTAATTAATTCATTTTTGACAAACACAGTTTGGCATTTTACAGCCGTCTCACTGTGGCACCTGGTGTAGCTCTGGAGTCCAGCTCGAGGCGGTGATGTTGACTTAGGGTGTATTCAGACCTGCACATTTGCTCCACTTTAAACGAACCAGGATTCGTTTGGAACTCTGATCCGAACCTTATATGCAGGTCTGAATACACACAAACGAATCCTGGTCCGGACCAAAGAACCGAACCGAGACCCACTTTTTGAGGTGGTCTCGGTCCGCTTCCAAACGAATTCTGGTCCAAGTCGAATCAGATCTGAATACATCCGGTGTCGATCCGACACAACTCCAAGATACGTGCGCAGACAGAAACTGAGGAATTAGCCACGCAGCGGCTAACTATGATGCTAACTATGATGCTAACTATGATGCTAACTATGATGCTGAGCCGTGTGCAGACCTGGAGCAGTGAGGAGACGCTGTGCAACAGGCTTATGGAGTTACAACTGTTCACAGTTTACAGTGATGTTAATGGCAGCATCTTCAAACCATTTGCATTATTAAAAGCCTGACACTGTTTGACTCACGTCTCAAACATTATTAAAAACCTGACACTGTTTGACTCACGTCTCAAAGAGCAATATTCCGCATCATGTAGTGAACTGTGTTCTTTGGTTCCTACCTGATCCTCAGCGTCTGTTTGTCCCGTGGTTATTATAGATCCATGGTTTATCCACATGCTGCTGTCAGTAAGTTGTGGAACAGGGTTATTATAGATCCATGTGTGGGACAGAGTTATTATCATAGATCCATGTGTGGGACAGGGTACAGAGCGCACAGACAGTCTCCTTCGGCTTTCTCCGACGCTGTTCCAATATTTAAAACAAGGTGTTTGGCCTGTGTCATATGAGCTGCTGTTGATGTTGAAGGTGGTTTTGGTCTAAAAAGAGCAAACATAGGCAGAGCAGACATGCTGCACGTATGCGAGCCCTCTGTTTTCCTCTGGTTCCGCATCTATCCTCTGTGAGCTCTCTCTGTCCAATAGGAGCCGATTGTCACACGTGTCGATATGTTTATAAAAAAAAGTTCACTTGCAAAAAAGGACAGTCTGAATACGAACCGGAGCAAAAGAAAAAAGTTTGGTCCGCTTTTGATTCGGATCAAGCAAGCGGAGCAAAGGACTTTTCAGGTCTGAATACACCCTTAAATTCCCGTCATACCACTTCATACAAAGGCTGATTACTGGCACTGATATTGGCCAATTATTTAGGACTAATTAGTTAATTAGTTTTTTTCATTAGTCACGTAAAAATAATGTTACGCATTGACGCATGTACGGAACGACCCGCCCAATCATCCTGAAAATAACACTCAGAATGCCACGGACACATGCCATGGATCTATTGCACATGCGTGTGGAGATGGCGACAGAGCAGCTCTCTGGGAACTCAAGTTTAAAAAGAAAACACGTGTGACCGCGCTGCACTTGCTGTTGTTGTTGTTGTTGTTTGTTGCTGTTGTTTGCTAAATGAACTGAACGGGAGTCTGCATCCTCCTGAAGCGTTCTGACCCGGGGCAGCTGTGGCCGCTCTGCACAGAGGTTCCCACCTCCAGCTCCTGTGAGCCGCTAACAACAACACGGTGAACGCCGTAACATCACACGCACAGGACTATTCTCTGCTTGCTGTGTGCGTAACCTGTGCATGCAATAAATACACCTCTGAAGCTCCTCCGTGTCTTCTCACGAAGCGCACTCGCTAAATTAAAGCTGGGGTACCTAATTTTCCCAGTTCATGTTGGTTGTGCCCAAAAGAGAAATATTGTGAGTAAATCAAACAGATTTAATGACATTCTGCTTCAGACTGTTTTTAAATGTCCCTCATCTCTGTGACAAACAATAGTTTTGGTCTGAGTCTAAACAGAACGACAGAATGTGAATAATGTTAATGCCATTTCATATGGATTAATTAAAATAAACAAATACAGTCCATATGTACACTATGCTGTCATGTATCATTCCATTCAAACAACCATTTACAGAAATGGCATCATTTTGCCGATAGTTTGAAATGTGATTAATTACGATTAATTAATTTTAAAGCTGTAATTCACTTGACTAAAAAAATGAATTGCTTGATAGCCCTACAATATTTCTATGTCTGTATTTAGTAATCTGTTCATTTGTTTTGTTTTTTTAGAACATTACATTATTGGGTTCCCAGAGGTCTCCCATCACCATACTAACCAGGCTCTGCACTGCTTAGCTTCAGAGGTCTAACTGGACAGGGCTTTCACCTTCAGCTGGTGTCTCTGGGTTCTGACTGATGTTAGAGTCATAACAAGACCTTTTTTAGTTCTGCGCCACATGGTACTTTACCAGTGAGATTAGCTCGACACGGTGAGTTCTGGTGCTCGGATCACAGACTTTCTGATTGGTCAAACGGTGGAGGGCGGGATTTAGGGGCTGTAAAACTAATATGAAATTCAAATATCTCTGAACTACTGATATCAGTTAAAGAAGTATTGGAAAAGAGCATGTTTTATTAATGCCTTTTGACAGATTAGGGCCCTTTAATGATGACTTGACATAAATTAGTTTGAATATCTTAAATATTCAAACTTTCAGCCCAAAATGGTGTGTGTTACTGAGCTAGAGGAGTTTACTTTCACATGTACGTCGATAGGAGGCATGAGCACTTTGAGCATTGAGCTAGCGGGTTAGCATCGAGCTAGTGGGTTAGCATTGAGCTAGCGGGTTAGCATTGAGCTAGCGGGTTAGCATCAAGCTAGTGGGTTAGCATTGAGCTAGCGGGTTAGCATTGAGCTAGCGGGTTAGCATCGAGCTTGTGGGTTAGCATTGTCCATACGTATCCTGTGTCTGTCTAAGTGGCGGGGCTCACCTTGCACTGGCAGAGGGTGCACTCGGTGCCGTGTTTGATCCAGGAGGAGCCGCTGAGGCGCTGGATGCGGTGCTCGTCGCTGCAGGTCTTGGTGATGTCGTTGCGGATGGTGTCGGCCTGACACGGGTCCGTCACGCAGCGAGGACAGCACTCTCCCTCAGGGATCAGCGTGAAGTCACAGTCCACCGGAGGACAGGGCAGAGGCCAGCAGTCCACCTGACCCTGCTGCACACACAACAACCATGTTATCTGTATGTAAAGTATTTGCACAGCACAGACTAAAGTATATGTACGGCACACACTAAAGTATTTGTACAGCACAGACTAAAGTATATGTACGGCACACACTAAAGTATTTGTACAGCACAGACTAAAGTATATGTACGGCACACACTAAAGTATTTGTACAGCACAGACTAAAGTATATGTACGGCACACACTAAAGTATTTGTACAGCACAGACTAAAGTATATGTACGGCACACACTAAAGTATTTGTACGGCACAGACTAAAGTATATGTACGGCACACACTAAAGTATTTGTACGGCACAGACTAAAGTATATGTACGGCACACACTAAAGTATTTGTACGGCACACACTAAAGTATTTGTACAGCACAGACTAAAGTATATGTACGGCACACACTAAAGTATTTGTACAGCACAGACTAAAGTATATGTACGGCACACACTAAAGTATTTGTACGGCACAGACTAAAGTATATGTACGGCACACACTAAAGTATTTGTACAGCACAGACTAAAGTATATGTACGGCACACACTAAAGTATATGTACAGCACACACTAAAGTATTTGTATGGCACACACTAAAGTATTTGTATGGCACACACTACAGTATTTGTACGGCACACACTAAAGTATTTGTACGGCACACACTAAAGTATTTGTATGGCACACACTAAAGTATTTGTACGGCACACACTAAAGTATTTGTACGGCACAGACTAAAGTATTTGTATGGCACACACTAAAGTATTTGTATGGCACACACTAAAGTATTTGTATGGCACACACTAAAGTATTTGTATGGCACACACTAAAGTATTTGTACGGCACACACTAAAGTATTTGTACGGCACAGACTAAAGTATTTGTATGGCACAGACTAAAGTATTTGTATGGCACACACTACAGTATTTGTATGGCACACACTAAAGTATTTGTACGGCACAGACTAAAGTATTTGTACAGCACAGACTAAAGTATATGTACGGCACACACTAAAGTATTTGTACAGCACAGACTAAAGTATATGTACGGCACACACTAAAGTATTTGTACGGCACAGACTAAAGTATATGTACGGCACACACTAAAGTATTTGTACGGCACACACTAAAGTATTTGTACAGCACAGACTAAAGTATATGTACGGCACACACTAAAGTATTTGTACAGCACAGACTAAAGTATATGTACGGCACACACTAAAGTATTTGTACGGCACAGACTAAAGTATATGTACGGCACACACTAAAGTATTTGTACAGCACAGACTAAAGTATATGTACGGCACACACTAAAGTATATGTACAGCACACACTAAAGTATTTGTATGGCACACACTAAAGTATTTGTATGGCACACACTACAGTATTTGTACGGCACACACTAAAGTATTTGTACGGCACACACTAAAGTATTTGTATGGCACACACTAAAGTATTTGTACGGCACACACTAAAGTATTTGTACGGCACAGACTAAAGTATTTGTATGGCACACACTAAAGTATTTGTATGGCACACACTAAAGTATTTGTATGGCACACACTAAAGTATTTGTATGGCACACACTAAAGTATTTGTACGGCACACACTAAAGTATTTGTACGGCACAGACTAAAGTATTTGTATGGCACAGACTAAAGTATTTGTATGGCACACACTACAGTATTTGTATGGCACACACTAAAGTATTTGTACGGCACAGACTAAAGTATTTGTATGGCACAGACTAAAGTATTTGTATGGCACAGACTAAAGTATTTGTACGGCACAGCCTAAAGTATTTGTATGGCACAGACTAAAGTATTTGTATGGCACAGACTAAAGTATTTGTACGGCACAGGCTAAAGTATTTGTATGGCACACACTAAAGTATTTGTATGGCACAGACTAAAGTATTTGTACGGCACACACTAAAGTATTTGTACGGCACAGACTAAAGTATTTGTATGGCACACACTAAAGTATTTGTATGGCACACACTAAAGTATTTGTATGGCACACACTAAAGTATTTGTATGGCACACACTAAAGTATTTGTACGGCACACACTAAAGTATTTGTACGGCACAGACTAAAGTATTTGTATGGCACAGACTAAAGTATTTGTATGGCACACACTACAGTATTTGTATGGCACACACTAAAGTATTTGTACGGCACAGACTAAAGTATTTGTATGGCACAGACTAAAGTATTTGTATGGCACAGACTAAAGTATTTGTACGGCACAGCCTAAAGTATTTGTATGGCACAGACTAAAGTATTTGTATGGCACAGACTAAAGTATTTGTACGGCACAGGCTAAAGTATTTGTATGGCACACACTAAAGTATTTGTATGGCACAGACTAAAGTATTTGTATGGCACAGACTAAAGTATTTGTACGGCACAGCCTAAAGTATTTGAATGGCACAGACTAAAGTATTTGTACGGCACACGCTAAAGTATTAGTACGGCACAGGCTAAAGTATTTAAATAATTACAGAACATTAAAAATAATTAAGATAAAATCCTTCAGTTGTTGCAGCGAAACAGAAATGTTTTTAACCTGGATTTGAAGAAGTCTGTCTCACGTTTTCAGGAAGACTGTTCCAGATTTTAGCGGCATAAAACTGAATTGCTGCCTCCTCATGTTTAGTCCTGACTCTGGTCACCAGCAGGGGGCCAGTCCCTGTGGTCCTCAGAGTCCCAGCAGGAGGCCAGTCCCTGTGGTCCTCAGAGTCCCAGCAGGAGGCCAGTCCCTGTGGTCCTCAGAGTCCCAGCAGGAGGCCAGTCCCTGTGGTCCTCAGAGTCCCAGCAGGAGGCCAGTCCCTGTGGTCCTCAGAGTCCCAGCAGGAGGCCAGTCCCTGTGGTCCTCAGAGTCCCAGCAGGAGGCCAGTCCCTGTGGTCCTCAGAGTCCCAGCAGGAGGCCAGTCCCTATGGTCCTCGGAGTCCCAGCAGGAGGCCAGTCCCTGTGCTCCTCAGAGTCCCAGCAGGAGGCCAGTCCCTGTGCTCCGAGTCCGAGTTAGTTTCAGAAACAGGTCACCTAACACCCGGTTTATCTGAGCCTTTCCGTGGGAGAGGTAGCCAGACGCAGACACAGGGAGAACATGCAAACTCCACACAGAAGGATCGTGGACGTTGACTCAAACCCAAACTCAAACTTTCCCTTCTCAGCAGTAGGTCATGGGTTCTAATCCTGGTCAGAACAGGGCCTTTTTGATTCGTTTTTCATCTTTTCAGTCTTAACGTCTTTAAGTCGACAGCAGCTGCTTGTTTTTGTTTTGTTTTATTTCCAAATGAAAACCAGTGTAGTTCAGCTGCAGAACCTGGAGGATCAGAACAACATCGGTTCTGTCGGTGAGAGTCGGTCCCGAACCAGAGTTTTCTTTAAGGTGATGAAACGGATCTATTCTCACCTAAACAGCTCCTTATGCAAATGCGGCACTTTCTCCTGACGCGGTGCATTCACTGCTGCGGGGAAAGTGTTTAAGGCTCCGAGAAATGTAGATGAGACATGCACCTCCCCATCCTCCTCCTCCCCCTCCCCCTCCTCCCCCCTCTTCCTCCCCCTCCTCCCCCCTCTTCCTCCCCCTCCTCCCCCCTCTTCCTCCCCCTCCTCGTGGTCAGCACTTTTCAGAGGTAAACGCCGCTTCCTATAGACTTGTTCTCGTCACTTTCTCGCTCCTGTATCTACGTGTGTTTGTGTGTGTGTGTGTGTGTGTGTGTGTGTCTGTATGTGTGTGTGTGTGTGTGTGAGTGTGTGTATATGTGTAATGCTATTTTTATTTTGACATTTTCAAATAAAGCATTCAGAATTTCAATCTGAACCAGAGCAGAGAAGAAGACTCTCTGCAGCTGTGACCTAAAGTGACTATATTACTATTGTATTTATACATTTGTTTGTATGGATAAATGACTTGGCCTCTCTGGTCTCTCTTTGTTTTCTCTCTTGTCTTTATCTTGTCTTCATCTGGTCTCTCTCTGAGGGCCCCCCTCTGGTCTCTCTCTGTTTTCTCTCTGTTTTCTCTGATCTCTCTCTCTGGTCTCTTTCTGGTCTCGCTCTGGTCTCTCTGATCTCTCTCTTTGGTCTCTCTCTCTGGTCTCTGGTCTCTCTCTGGTCTCTCTCTGGTCTCTCTCTCTGGTCTCTTTCTGGTCTCTCTCTCTGGTCTCTTTCTGGTCTCTGGTCTCTCTCTCTGGTCTCTCTGCTCTTTCTCTCTGGTCTTTCTCTGATCTCACTCTGGTCTCTCTCTTTGTTCTCTCTCTGGTCTCTCTGCCTCCAGACACCTGATTTTTTCCTATGTTGATTGATAAAGTATCTATGTATCTATCTGTTTCTTGCAGTGCTCTCAATCTGACCATGAAATAGTAGCAGCTTCCTGAGTGCACATGGTAGAGGGTTTTACACACCATTACAACAGTCCCAGTGGGCGTCTTTAATATCACTGAAAACACCCCAGCTCAGCGTTGTTCCTTGGGCCGATAGTAAATTACGAGGCCAATAAAGCGTAGACCCGGCGCATTATACATTCAAGACATTTTTGAAGAAGGGGTCAAGCTTCTCTGACACGTTTGGAGAATAGAAAGCACACGTTATGGCCTCGCCCGCAATAGTAATGACAGAAAAACTATAAACTAAAATGCAGGCAATATATGAGTGTGTTTGTGTGTCTGTTAGTGTGTGTGTCTGTTAGTGTGTGTGTCTGTTAGTGTGTGTATGGTATTTATTTATGTGTGTGTATGTGTGTGTGTGTATGTATATTCTCTCTCCTTACATTTCCTCTCGGACACGGTACCAGGTACTAAAGTGTAATAGAAAAACAACCAGGTAGAGAAGAGCAGGGTAGAGTAGAGTAGAGTAGAGTAGAGTAGGGTAGGGTAGGGTAGAGTAGAGTAGAGTAGAGTAGAGTAGAGTAGGGTAGGGTAGGGTAGGGTAGGGTAGGGTAGAGTAGAGTAGAGACCTTAGAGTAGAGACCTTAGAGTAGAGTGTAG